GAAGACCCTAAAGAATAGGAACGTTCATTTTGACTTGGTCAAGGGCTTTGGATCCCTGAGCGATTTCTCCCATGCAAAGTCTTATTTTGTAATATCGAAGTTATGTGAATATACTAGCATTCTCCTGTATATAGCATTTCACAGATTGAGACTGAAAAGACACCGTATCTCTTGATGGATGATATGCAAACACGTTAGCTCCTAAAACTTTACCGAATTTCTCATCACCGATAAATTTTCTAAATACACCAGTATCAATCTCCTCCGAATCAAGCAGTGCATTGATGACACGCTTTCCTGCTTCATGACGTGATTGGTTTGGAAGGAGTTTTGCGGAATCAAATTTCTTCTTGACTTCAGTTAGGATTGACTGTTTAATGACTGCAGAAAAAGAGTTAAGCAATTAACCCAAAGCAGAGTCGTGTAAATTCATTTGATGCTTACCTTCAAAGGATTGTCCAGCCAGGCGGAAATCGTCCACCACAGTTTTCAGCTCTACAATGCGACCACCAACCAATTCATATAGTTTTTTTGCTTCTACTTCATTGATATTGCGCTTCTTAGTCAGATATTCCATTGATTCTTCCTTGCTAAGGTCACCAATTTCCACCACGGGTTTTTTAGCACGTGACCAAGCACTACGAGCTAAAAATAAGAACCACGATCTGTAAGTAATAATTCTTGGGGTGCATCAAAAAATAATGCAGTACTTACATTCCATTCTTCGAGGAACCGAACCTTCGCTACTGACAAATACGGCAATATATTTTCTGCCATCGGCATTCTTTTTAGCGTCATCTTGAAGAATATCAAGAATTTTTGGGTTCTCATTAACTATTTTGCCAATGTTGTCGTAAACAATAACCGGTGGTTTGCCATGCTTCGCTTTATACACTTCAGAGGCATGCTTAAAGGCTCTAAGAGCTCTCTTCCACTTTGGATCAAATTCGTCTAGAAATTAGAATCAAAGAGGTCAGTTATCAATAAAGTAATGATAATAAACTTAACAATAATGACAGACTCACCCTTGGTATCGCCAAAAAATTTTTGCTTCAGTCGTAATGTTAACATTGTATCTTCATCAAATATAAGATTAAGAGCTTTTCCAAACGAATTGCCAAATTCTTCAATGTCGGCAGGAGTATCAACATATATGACGCCTTTCCCAATTTCTCTTGCGACCTTCGTAGTCAATGTTGTCTTCCCGGTTCCGTGTTCACCACAAACAACATGGTAATACGAATGATTTTGAACCGGCTGAAAAATTTTCTTGAGATGTTCTGTAACTTCAGGCCGAAGAATGAGCTCATTATCCGCCGTTTCCGTCTTCGGTTGAGTACCTTTTTCCAAGAGTTTGTTGACGCGTCGCTCATTAGATAGCCAAGGTAAATAAGGTCCCCTGCCAGGAAGATCGCACCGCTACCCAACAAAAATCCCCACAGGCCTTTCCAGTTGATGGAACCTAAATAGGTATCCATTTCTTCCAGGCGAGGGAGGCAGACTTCAATTTTTCAGACTCATTAGGAGCAGGATTTGTAAAGGTTCTCGAAAACGATGATTGAAACAGGTCAGGTCTTGCGTTTCTCAACGCAAATTTTGGTGGCTGAAGGAATAAGACTTGACGGGTAACGAAGCGAGATGGTAAAACGCTCCTACAAAAGCACCGAGTGATATTGGAGGAAGACATTTGTGCTGGTTAGATTCAATAATGGTTAAAAATAAGAAATGACTGATTGTTATTTCTCCGAGCAATGCAAAAATGATTGCCATAAGAGTGAGACAAATATGTTATTTCGCCGGTTCGCCGGATATTATACAACAAATTAAAAATCACATCAGTAACTAAAGTAAGCATATATTTAACAGAACGCAGGCGAAACATGTTAGAAGTCTGTTTGTTTGTAAGCCATTTTTCTTTTTTTAATAAGATTTTGCTAACAGTCGAACGGTCAATCGTAAGATTAAACTTTTCGTTAAAATAATTTGCCATATCGCTATTATTTTCTATACTCAGTCGAATCGTGTTTTAGATAAATGCTTCGACATTTTTTGAAATTATTTTATTTAAATCAATAAATACAACAATTTCTATCGTACTAATAATGTGAATGACGTTATTAAATATTTATTATTATAAAGCATGATATGACGTGCATTTAAAATTTAAGGACTGGTCTTGAATGTAACACAAGTATTTGGTGACTACAAAGGGGGAATTTTTCATATTGTGCAATAGTAAAGGGCATTCAAAATCGGGTGACTGTGACTATAATATGATTGTGACTGTAAAGGAGATAAATCACTATGAAAATGAACATGTGTGACTATATAGGAGGTGACTGTAGGGAAGGTTGACTGTATTATGTAAATCCGCATGACGGGATTTACATACAACATAGTATAGTAATAGTAACACTATCCCTAAATTAAAATTATCATTTAACCTTAAGTACTAAGTCTATTTTTTGATGGGATTGGTTTCGAAGCCTATAGTAATAGGTCGGGGAAATTATTCTACGCTAACGCGATATTAAATAATAATCCTGATGTCAAAGAAACAACAAAATCGAAGAAAGTTCTACTCGTATACCGCTGATACGGAAAGAGTTTTACACTTTTATCAGCGATAGAATATCTACCAGTAGTAACTCAATAATAAACCATGGCTAAAATTTCATGCGATTCAGAAATTTCGGAGACTTTTGAGTACTCATTGTAACATACCCAATAATTTCAATTGGTCGGAATAATCTGAAATATATAATACACGAACCTTAATGAAATAAATTATGCATACAACGGACGATTAGCCTACCGATAGGATATAAGACAATACGACGGACGGTGAAAATACCTTACAATGAAATTGTTATTTATCATACTATTTAGAACGAGAATTCAGGGCACAATTTACAGCAACTTAGGATTATCGTCAGCAAGCTTGTTATCAGACGTCATCAACGGTCGAAGAGAAGTGAAGGCTGAGCATAGCATTACGCGTAACTGGCACGCACAATTTGTTAAAAATCAGATAGCAAGTATTCTGAAATTACCAAAGGAATTAAATCTTGGTAAGAATATCTTTATCATCATACGCCTTGTTGCATTAGACTTGATTTTGATTAGCAGTTAGCATTAACACGTCGTACAATGTTGGTTCAGAATGCCAATTCACATGAAAACTGCCTGATTGGTCAAGGTTAATAGCTAGCACGAGATATCATCATCAAGGAGTTTGAGAAGTTCGTGGTTTGCAAACGTTAGATATGGAGCCGCAAATCGTATACTATGCACGACCAGAATATATAGAAACGGTAAGTTTTTTATCATGATATCTAAATAGTGAGCACTGATTCATTAGAATGATTACGTGGTAGGATACTGGAAACAAGGTCAGCCGTAAAAGCGTAATATGTGGCAGTCAGAATATAATCCTAGGTGGTAAGGTAAGGAAGAATGTTCATTTATGCATACCTTGTTACGTTGTTTTATATATTGACATGCATATGCTGTGCTCTTTCAAAGACCATAATCCAGACTGACTGTGTGATTCGTGGAGATTTACGACGTACTGGCGTTGGACATGCAGTAGTAGTTGCCATCGGAAGATACTGTCTCTTATCCAGAGGCAGCATAATACGCCCTCCATATAAAACGTACAAGGGGTAAGACGTATCTCTATTTGCCTATGATTTAGTCAAGAATAACGCTCGCAACGGTCATCGTTTTGACCCATTATTTGTACATAGAATGTTCAGTTACTACCCGATGAAGATTGGTGACCACGTCACAATTGGTGAAGGGAGTATTGTGGAGGCGGCTACAATAGGTTCCTTTGTCCATATTGGAAAAAATTGCGTGATCGTGAGTAATTCTATAATCCTTAATAGTAATAATAATGAATTTGGGAAAATACTTGTCCAATATCAAGAAATATGTATTAAATTACCAAAAATTTAATTTGAATAGGGAAGATTTGCTATTATCAAGGACTGCTGCCGTATTGAGGATAACACGGTAATACCGCCGAATACTGTCGTACCTTCATTCTCCATCTACGAGGGATCTCCTGGTACGTCTATCATGACTTGATGATTGCTGTGCGGAATGTCATGACAATCTCTATAGACTTGTTACCATTCAATTAACTCACTCCATTCATTTCCACGCTTAGGCGTTTGTGTCGACGAACTCCCCGAGTGTGTCCAAGACTTGTACGAATCGCAAACCAAAGACTTTTATACCAAATTCCAACCTTCAAATTGAAACGACACTTCTCGAGCTCGTCACTCTCGCTATCACAGATCCCACCGACATCGCACTAGATACTATTACTCGTCTTCCTCCTCCTCATCTTCATCCTCCTCTTCATCTTCTAGTTCATACGAATCCTCTCCTTTCTTTTCCCGAAGACTTCAAAGATCCCAACAGCAGTCACATGTAGTTCGGAAATATAGTAATGATGAGATGAATCTGCTTAATATATTGTTAATATTTATTGTGGTTTTGCAGGCGTTATTGATTAGGAAGCTATTTTTTGAACCGTTGTCTACAAATCAGTCTGCTGTGAGCACAACTACGACAACGGCTACTGTGACTGCAACTGTTACTACTACGGCGACAGCGACAGCGACAGCTACGATTACTAAAATATTGGACGATTGTAATTGAATAGTTTTTTTCTTCTTCTCTAGCTTATCACGCATTAAGTATTATCTAAACATTGGAGAGATTTATTTACATTGATTATTAGCTTTCGAAAACGCAAATACAATACATGTTAACGAAAAAGAAACAAATTCTTCAATGGGGTCAAGTCCTGTTCTCCGTTGGACTTTATAATTAGTCGTAATACGCTTCTCCCCCATCTGCGTCTTCTAATTCGTCATAAAATTCATCCTCGCCATTGTCAAAGTATGACATCACATAGTCAGTCTCTTCCTCATATTCATCTTCTGCTTCTGCTTCTGCCGAAATCTCAAGGTCGGGTTCTACCACTTGAGCATCAGCCTGTGCAAATAGCCCCCGCATGTCAACATACAAACACACACACATATACACATAAAATTAAGAACCAAAACACAACTTACACGCTCCCTTCCCCCTTCCTCGGTTTCGTCTTTAAGGAATTGGTCGAGTTGTGCGCCAACGTTGATTTCTGATCTCTGTGTTGTATCTGTAGGAATATAGACATAAATGTTAAATGTTGCAAGTGGAATAAGCAGCATATGACAAACGCCATGACAAACCTGTCAAAATAGTTGATGTTTTAGTATTATCATAGACGCTATGCAGCTCTTCTGGGAAAAAGCCCAAATCTGTATATAGCAAAGTTGGTCAATTAGCAAGTATCGCTTTGTTAGAGCAATCTGTATTTTGGACTATAACACACTAGACCACTAGAGTAATTACACAGTTATATACCTGCATTTATTTCTTTTAACGTTCTCGTCTCTCGTACAGATTTTATGCAATCGGAGTATCGTTGGACAGCTATAACAGCGCATGACGAAACGTTAAAATTAGAAAATTATTTAGGGCGTTTAGTACAAGTTTTATTCAAGAATTATATACCTCAGATAAATTCGCATCGTACCTGGTTTAGACGCTGGTCTAGACAGATGATACGGTGTCAACTTTAACAAGTTTTTATGCTCTGCCATTACAACAACAGCTGACAGCTCATTTTCAGTTGGACGTCGCGGGTGGGGCAATTCAATCTCCTAATGCAAATCCTTAAATGAGGCAAAATACCTTTGTAGAGTTTCAGATTTGTAAACTGATCTTACCGGAAACAGACCCGACGGTTCTCGTGCTTTATAGACTTGATGCAAATCGTTCCAAGAGATGCCTTCGATTGGTCCAGGACGAGACCCTTGGGTAGATCCGCTACCTCTGGTAACAGTCGTTCTAGTTCCTCGGCCCTTGCCTCTGCCTGGTGGCATGCGTACGATACTGGTATAATAATTGGTATAATAATGTCTGAATTACATAGTGTAAAAAAAGTAACCATTCGATTGGCCTATTATCGTTTACTATCAGATTATCAGATATATCACCAGTTTCTGATCTACCCAATCAATAAAAATTCCTGCGATGCTTCTACGCGTTTATTTCACTCGATTCCCGATGACTGGCAGAAGATAGGCTGAAAATTTGCATACGTGTAAACGAATTCGGGTTTATTGAAATTTTTTAAGTTCACACGCGAATGCAATTTTTATATACGCAATTCGCATTAATCAATTTGCACGAAAATTTCGTTATATTGGCCAATCTCCTCTTTTCATATATTCGTTGGAATTTTAGACAGGGATTAAAAGCCTTTTTATTTTTATTTGTCAATCTGTAATAGTAATATTAAATTTCAATTTATGATTTAGAATTTGAAAAATAGCAATTTGGCTGCATTTTAACGCGAAGAATTACACTCTGAAATTTTATAAAAAGTTCACAGTTGTTGTTCTATTTCTGCTCTAAAATCTTTTTTTTATACAGCAAGATAGGGGAGGGAATAGAAAGTATTTTGAAGAAATTATTGAATATTCAACAAACTCGATCTTTTACATATAGTATGAGTATAACTAGATGTGTGTGTCATAAAATGATTATTTGAAAAAAAATAAATTTTATATCAGATATCGAAAGCGTAAAGTCTGAGACGGAAAATGAAACAATATTATTAGAAAAAATGGTTTGCACAGTAAGGGGCCGGCGATTATGGGGGCAATCGCAATTCTGAATATACATTACCCTTCTCGCCATCCACAGATTATAAGATTGATAAGGGCAACTGGAAGGTGATACCCCAATGCAATTGAACTCTTGTTTATTTCTTTCCCATTTACCGTTTGAAGACTTGTCTACGGAATACATGATTACAAATCAATGCAGAATAATCAGGCTTAGTCACCAATTGCAAAATGATTATATACAACTATCAAGACTATTTGCTTTTTGCTTCCAGTGGAGAACTATATTCTAATGGTTTATCTTCTCTCTTTTCTTTTGTCAGAGATTGGTAATATTCCTAGTAGCATGCGTTTGGGTCCATCTATTGGCTGATACAAAATCATAACATTAACATTAATATTAATATGTCAAATTAATTAAAAGATTGTCAATGTATTACGAAGCTGAATTCGGGAATGGTACACTTGCAATCCCGGCTGTAGTACAGCCCCAAAAAACTCTGTTTGATTGACGAGATAATCTTAGCAGATGTTTAGCACGTATGCTAATATGGTGCTTTGTTTTATGTAAGTATCACTTGTAACTATTAAATGATTCTAATGATTGCGGAAAACAAACCTTATCATCCGCTCGAACTATATACGTACAATATATTTCCTCTACCTATGCCAATGTTCATCCAATGCAATGTCCCAGCATACATCCTCCTTCCCCTTTCCCCCCTACCGATATCCTGTGATTGCCATTTGTAACTTGCTCTATATGCCAATAATATAAAATACATAATATATCAACTGTCAATCGAATATACAATTACTATTGGTTTTATTAAATTACTTTTGTAATATAAACATAATGCTAATTGCATCACGACGGAGATTGATTGTTCTGTGATTGTGGCGGTGAAGGAGGCGCTCGACGGGGTGGTGGTATGCGATCAGATTGCGAATTAGATTGTGAAGTTTGAGTAGATGGTTGTGTGGGTGTTGCTTGAGGTACAGGTGTCGAACCTGATGTGAATGCTGGAGGGGGTACCAGTAGATTGGTCGGAGAACCACGCTGAGATGACGGCGAAGTTGTGGATTTAAATGGTGTTAATCCAAAAAGCCAACTCGTCGGTGAACGAGGAGATGATGACGTCGATGACACCGATGCTGTTCTCCGTGATGTATTATTGTTGCTACCATCATCTACTACTATTGTAACGGATTCGTTTGTATCGCTCCCTGTAGTGTATGGCGGTGGCAAACCTGCACCTTCTAATGCCACACTGTATGTGGGAGGGGGATTGGCCACTTCCTCAGTGGCCGTCGTTTCTACCTCTTCATCTTCAGATCTAGCACCATTATTAGATGCCCATCGCCGAAGCCTATCACGCATGTCACCTAAACGATAACTGGTGAATGTAGGATATGGTGGGTTTGTTGATACGTGCGAATTAGATGAGCCTCGAGAATGTGCAGATTGGGCCGAAGAATCATTGTGTTGTGCAGTGGGTGTAATAACCATCTCCGGTGTTGTTGGTTGGTCTGTTCTTTCGCCATAACAGTTAGTCCGTACGGTTAACTATAGTCAAGTATTGGGTTAGTACATGATACTTGTAACAAGACAAATACATATAACGCTAGGATACTTAGTAGAACGTTTCATTAGAGTAATAAAGATGATTTGTAGTCATCACTTTTATCAAGTGGCGATGACATTGTCGTTCGTAACATTACTACTACCAACCTTACCCACTACATTATTCCCCTCAGACCAACTCCCTTCTTTGCAATGACAACGTCTGCAAATGGACTATACGCTCTACTTACCCAATATATTGCATATGACATCAATACTGCGATGAATATTATTATTATCCCGGATATCGATAGCTCAGCATCGGTAAATAAGTAACATAGAGGCAGCACGATGGCCAATATAAGTAAAAGTCCTATATAAGCTCTGTTCACATAGCGGTGGAACCGTGGATACTTGGAAGACATGTCTCGTTATATTTTATTTTTTGATATTTGTTCTTAGTAAAGTTAAACTCCTCCTCGATGTAAAGCAGTAATCGTTTAAAAAAGCTTGCCAACTGGACTCTCTATTCAGAGTTTTTGCCTTTGGGGCATCTGTGGCATCAGCACAAAACGCATGAGATTTAGCAGAGGAAAAGGAATGACGAATCAACACACTGAAAAGTTCGAGAGTAAGGTGGATTTCCCATGGTTGACATGCCATATTAATAATTTATTCAGTTGCCAATTAAGTCAGCATTCACCCAACTTCAATTCTCCCAATGTTCGATTGTTTCCTAAATCGAATTATCATTTGTGGAAACACTCGCCTAATAGAGCGATTTGTGTAACTATATTCCGCTTATTATCTGAAAACAGCAGAATCAATGGTATTCAGTCGTTAATTTTAGTATGGCCGTGTGGTGTGGTATTAGCATTATGCAGTACTGGATACATGTGAGATAACAAGGAATTCGGTCGGCCCGGTGGCGCAAATGACTAAAATGACAGACCTTTCTGTAAGTTACACCAAGAGATAACAGTACCACCACAACGTCTATTATTTATTGTCGATCTACGCCGCCTACCAAAAAGTCTTCGGCCTTGAAATTTACTATTACTGGTAAAACATGAAAAATCGTTTGATTCGAAAATTTGTAGTACGATTTAGGTACCGTCACGAAGCTGATTTTCAACGATGGGTTAAAATGTATAATAATAGCTCAAAAATCCATTCTTCACATGTTTCTAATAGATCTGTTTGTTTTGCTCACCCGATCTGTCTCTATGTGCCCCTTGGGATGGATAATCGCGCATGAACAAATTGCTGTGTGATCGTGCGGCATAATGATGCTGATTGGATATCAAACGCATTCTATAAAAAAAAAAAGAAAAGATTACGGAATTTGGCAGAAAAGTGTCGAGATGCGATCGGTAAAGTGCTTAATATTAAGCCCCAAGAAAATAATACGTAATAGTGACACGGCCGGATTTGTGTTAGCCATATTAATATCGATATATATTATATATTATTTCAACATTATGCCGATCATGTCCAATTAATATTAAATGCCTCTAGCTCACAAATGTGAAATAAAGAAATATGTCTATGAACATATGCGTCAGATTTGCAGAGGGAGGCATATATACTGAATATTCAACATCACAGTGCCGAACAGAGCGAACCCTGAATCAGGCAATAACGCTTCCCCCCTTGTCTCGCAGATCGGATTAAAGACAATTGCTATTGCATTAGAATGCCCATCTTCACGTGATCTCTGTGATCAATTCTTGTTTACGTGACCTGCGTCTTATAGGAGGAGATTTCAATTATCACGGTAAATCGATATTGTCATCTAGATTTGGTAATAACATACTCCAAACGATTAAAAGATTGTCGTTTTGAAGCGATGTATAATACACACCCTTTACGAAAAATATAATTTGACACGCAATCACACTAGCAATAAAACAGTTATTAAGGAATAGCACATCATCTGCATTTTAATTCTTCAATCATACTGTTCAACAAAATTACCGATTGTGGCACTTTGTATTTAAACCTCAATGAGCCCACTTTTTTGTTTGATCTACTTTGCATTGCCTAATCCGCTCTTTTAATATATGGAGCTGTAAAAGTTATTTAAAGTAAACTGGTTGATTAGATTCTAACTTCGTATTTCAATGCCAAGTTTTAACGCGCGCATGTATTCTTAATATAGAACATGCTACGACAAGTGAGCATAACACCGCGCGATTGATCGAAATTCTGGTTTTGGTTGTCAAGCCTAATTTTGTGAAATGTCTAGTGACTAAAACAAAAGATTTTAATTGCTAAACATACACATCATATTTTATTCTTTCACTTTGCATTCTTAAAGCAAATTACTAATAAATAACTTCGGTTGATAATCAAACAGATAACCACGAGTCTTAGTTCTGCAATTAGTTTGCATTTCACATTTGCATTGCAATTGAAGAGTCGAAATAATACAACGATAATTTGAGTTAGTTTATAAGAATCAATTCACTTTACTGTTTTCATTACAAAAAGTGAAAATATAACAATAATATAGCACCCAGTAATTGTATGGGAAGAAAATACTTTGACCCAAGCCATTGATGAATATAATCATCATCATTATTACTATTATGGGCGCTATTGTTATCATTAATACTATCTTCACGTCTACTTTTGATTAATCCATAATGTAATTGCCCTCATGGCATTTTTTTTGTTCGTAGATAAACGAATTATCCTAGTGGAGGGCAGCTAGACCCTCTTTTAACGAGTTCATGGAAATTGCAAAATTACCGATTCTACGTTTTATTACTTTTGTGTATAGCAATAGCAATCTGCATGTACAGTAACTGACAATGAAATATATTTTATAATTATTACAAATCTTGCTGCATAGAAATCCTAATTACGTGGTATGCATGGTGCAGGTCATCTATAGTCCGAAATGAATATCTAACTTTCAATCCGTAAGAATGATAGAACAGACGATGCAGAACAAAAGTTCTATGCCTCGACCAACTAAAAGAAAAGCCGCATATAAAAAAGTGTTGCGAGATGAAAGAGGCAAGGAAATGAATTCAATTTTATCGACACAAAAGCAAGCTAACGGAGACGGATTGAGTGACGATTCATTAAGCATGAACGATGAGGTAAGTGGTTGGGGACGTGATGTTGGGAGCAGCCAAACGATACGCACAAAATAATTGTAATTACACATGGAGTGGATTACAAAAAACCGTTCGATTCTTTTAATTTAGCGAAAATATATGCTTTTGTATAGACATGAAATTATAGGTACATAGGTAAGTACGTTAATGTCGATTTACTTTATTTGAATTTTGAAGTTACAGTCATACCTCCTTTGTATCCCCACCCTTTAATATCCCAACTTCGGATATATCCCACTTGTGAAGCGGGACGGATTTCCTCTGTAGTATTTCTATTACTATATAAATTTACCTCATTTGTGTCCTTCAGATATATCCATATCCCCGATATTTTGTCGTCCCAAATTTCCATATAATATTAATTTAGTAATCTATTAATATCATACTTCGGTTATATCCGTTTTATCTGGAAACTGATATGGTAATAGCAAACTCAAAAAATGTTGGATAAAACGGGTTTATTTATTACTTGATATTTATTAAGTTTGTCAATGCGAAAGTGTTTCATCAATAATCAGCCCACTTTAGTGCGGATCTATTAGCGGACTCCGTTATAATTCCGTTATACCTTGATAAGCTCCGTTCATCGAAAAAAAATCCAGGAACCGGAATACAACGATTTAATAGTAAACTCCGCTATATTTAATTAGTAAAACTCTGGTTCCAAGAAGAAGAAAAAATCCGTACTAAGCAAAATCTGATATATCAACGAACCGTTATATCGACTTTCACTGTGTATATATTATACGAACTGTCATGTCATTTCTATTTTTACAAAGTTAGTCACATTCTCGAAATGTTAAAATAATTAAAAATATCAAACTATGTTAAAAGTCATAAACACGCCACTTTAACTTTAGCAAACCAGACGACGTTTAAGCCAAGAGCGTAGTTTCAAATATATATATGAGAGTGTGCGTTGCTTAACCTTTCCGATATTAAAAATGGATAACATCAGTAACAGTAGACAAAGGTATATTCAGGGAAACTCGGATAAACGGGGTAAGTGCTCAAACTGCCAGAATAATATATATCGTAAACACTACTCTTATTTGCTTATAACATAAGCTTACTACACTAACAGCTTGTGAAATAACTGCTTATTTGAGATTAAACCTTAAAGTCAGAGATTGATTGACGTATTTTTTTTTACATTGATTTAACTCATACAGGATATAAAATTCTCGCTAAGGCCAATGTCCATCTCTCTTTGTTCTAGGAAAGTTATTAACAATTTTTATAGACAAATATAATTGGTTGAAATATGCGGTTTATCGGGGTCAATATTTGGCTTAAACAAATTGTTACGTCGTTTTATTCGGGTTATTTTGATATGTCTGTTTCAGGAAATCTTCGGTTTACGGGTTTAGTGATTTCAATAGGCTAAAGTGCGGATTTCAAAAAAGGTTCGGTCTAACGGGGTTTCGGTTTATATTTATCGGGGTTCGGTTTATCGGGGTTGACCTTGTACAGCCCCCTCCAATAAATGACCGGGTAACACGAATTTTTAATAGTAAAACATATGAAAAGTCCTTCTTTTCAGTGCAATAAATTTTGCATGGTTCTGAAGCTAATTGATTATGCTGTTCGAAAAAAATAACAATAAAATTTTATAAGTTATTACTGTTAAACTGTAGCAAGTTGAAGCAGCTGTCTTTAAATCACGATATGAAAATATATGATTATATATGTATAGCACGTATAGTCACGCTTCGTCGAGCTACTAACTTATAACAATAACTTATAAAATTTTATTGTTATTTGTTTCGAACAGCATAATCAATTAGCTTCAGAACCATACAAAAATTATTGCACTTCGTATAGTACACAAAAGCAGGAGAGATTTTTGAAAAGGAGGACTTTTCATATGTTTTACTATTAAAAATTCGTGTTACCCGGTCATTTATTGGAGGGGGCTGTATATTGATAATGATCGGCAAACAACTCTCATAGATTTATCAAAAAAGGAAAACTGAATAAACGCATTGCTTACAATGAACCGAATTTCATTCTGCCACATTTATTTTTATCCCGGTCATAAAGCTACAGTATCGTATTATGGTATGACTTGCTGATTTGTAATGTCCTCAAAAACGCCATGAGCATTTACTAATCAGGCACTCATTTTTACATTCTCAAATTCCCTGTCATGGTCATGTCAGAAGTGCACAACTTTTCTTGCCAGTGTAAGTGAGGTTCTCAAAACACATGAATAATGCATGACCCAGGCCTCAAGAACGTTGAGCTTCTGTGCACATATAAATGTCTGCTCAAAATGTTCATCAAGTCAAGCTGATGTTGGTGTTGCAAGGAGTTCAATAACAGCTAGTGGGTGAGGGGATTGTTGCGCATGTTTTGTCGACGAAACTAAGCAAATACGGACCGTCGTAACTGACAAATCAATGGCGATGCTAAAGCACGCGTTGCCAGACTATGAAAGCAACGTAAGTAGTTATTTCTTGGAGAATTAACTAAAAAGTCCAAAACTAACAATCATTATCGGCCCTATTATGCTTTGCAGAAACCAAAGGAAAGATGAATTAGAGGATTCCTGTTCTCAGATAATTGACACAAGCTGTGATCCTATTTTTTTTGAACTAATCATGTCTTTACAAAATGGATCATGGAGAGTGGTATGAAACTACTGAAGATTTTAAAAAGACATGTTTATGCAGCTTGCCACAGAAGTCAGGTGGTCAGAACGAATATTTCGTGAATTGGTTGTATTTGGTTTTATTCATGCAAGTAAGGGAGATAAGCTTTGTCCTCTTGTTTTTATAATTTGATACCCTTTAATGCTCTTCTTTTTTCTTTCCCAAGAAAATTGTCAAATGCTATTGCAATTAGACTGTCCTGCTGGTTATTGTCATGCCGACTACTGCGGGAGAGCAGAAAGTAATCGACACTTGGGATTTAACTAGTCTCGACGGAGCGTGGCGCCTCCTATTCAAGTTAAATATCTAATTGTTCAGTTAGTGACCTTGTAATCGCAAGGCTTTTCACTTACGGGCTTTTTCACCGTAGAATGACGTTTATCCTAGATATAGAATCGTTCTCGAGTATTCGGCGGTTATTACCGAGGGATTAATCTGGTAATCTCCCGTTTGGGGTACAATGGTTTATCACTTAGATTTGAACGCGTTCGAAAAGCTACGATTAAATATCCTATTTCGCCACTCAGATAATTGCGGGACAAGAGGCAATTATCCTTGGTTGATATACTGATAAAACGGTTTCTCAGATATATTAACTAATTTAGAGAATAGGGTCAAAAGTATGTGTTCAGAGTAAATGCGATACTCGTTTATTAATAATAAGATATGATTTATAAAGAATATGTCGATCTAAATTAACTAGCGAACGTGAACTACAAGTGAAACTCGATAAGCCGAAGGTCGCGGGAAGGGACAATTTATTCGGCTTATCAAGATTTTCGTTTTATCAAATTTCGCAATAAGCCGAATTTATATATAGTTTACAGAAGCTTTCGGCTTATAACAACACTTTATATAAAGAATACTCGTTTGCTGTAACATATTCTGTTGTTTAGTCTCAATCGTTCTCTTTAACTTTTTTAGATTGGGTAAGAAGGCAGTATCAACTTGAAGCTCACATTACAATCTTGAGTAATGTACAGAAGCAAAGAATTGATACATAGAGATTATTTTTTAAGGCCAGTCAGCGTCTTTCGGTTTACTTTTTTCTTTGCCGTTTTATTTCTTGAATCGTTTAAACATTTGAAGAGCCACTTGTTGAACTTTCTCCACGATCGTTTATTCTGAAATATTAATCAAATGAAAGAGTTAATTGAAACTTTCCCCGTAAAAATATATACAAGCCACGCGCGCGAAATGGATGCAATCAAGCGATTGAATTGTCTGCACTAATAGTATGGTCTGATTTCGATCATGGTATTTAAGAACGAACCAATCAAGATAAATTCACGTGATTCCTTCGGTATATCGAGATAAAATTATTATAGTTGGTTAGCCAAAAATCTTCGGCTTATCGTTTAACGCGAATTTACTAATTAATTTCGGCTTAGACTATAGAACAACAAAAATCTTCCAGATTTAGTGGGAAAGGATATTTTCGTAATTCAGACGGAGATAATATTAACGTTATTTTTGAAGGATATATCGATTTGTTCCACCCCACTCCGTGGACTGCTACCACGACTTTTCAACAAAATGATGACATTGATATATTCGGTGCAGTAACAGGACTCAATAACAATACTCTCTCGGTAAATTATTATCCATAATCCTAATATTACTAATTATCAATAATTACCAATTATAATTTCCTTTCCTCTCCCACTACACAATAGCTACAAATATATAAACTACACGTTATAAATTCCACGAAACTATCCCTCCCAACTAATGTAACATGGTTACGAACTCTTGGGACCATCGAATCCCTACTCAAGCAACGACACGACCGTTTTTGAAGTCTCAGCAACTCAATATGTGAACAGCACCGATTCACAATACAAACAAACAATTACCGTTTATCATCAATCGCATCGCCAATACTTACAAGCAAGAACATCAAAAGCACGAGTGGGAGCAAAAGTGACTATATGTGGTGAATTAGACGTCATGGACGATAAACTCTACGTGGAATTACACGTATTCGAATACGAATCACTATCAAATTTCTCGAACCAATGACAGATACTCCATCCACCAGCATTTCTCCGTCTAAACGCTCCAGGTTATCTCAGTTAACAAAAGAAACAATGAACACACCACCCGCATCGAATTCCACAAAACAAAAAACCGATAAAACCACAACGGAACATCAACCAAACAACGATATAAATGAAAATCGACCCTAACACTAAACAATCGGCGAATTCTATAGCAGAACTGGCAACCTCGACGATTAAAGTCCCAAAATACCCCAAGCAAACCCAGAGACACGGATTAAACAATCATGACTTATAATTGTAATAATTAATTCATTCAATACTATATTAATATGTATGAAATTCGTCAGATTCACATGACCACCTACGAAAACTTGCATTTATCCAATTAAATATTTCCAACGTGATCTACATTGTATTCAATATTCTTAACGAATTATATAATACAAACACAATTTCTCACACACTGCAAAGCACCGAAAAAAAATTCTTTCGCTTTTTTCGCTTTGAACGAGCAAGGGGAAAAAAAAATTAAAATGAAAGACCGTGATGGCACGTTTCGCTTGGAGTGCGGCATTGACGGATGCGATTGCAGCGAGTTCGACCCTAAGAAGGATGCACAAGCCTGCGCGGCGTGCTCTCACAGTGCTGCCCGACATGCAATCAAACCGGAAGGTAAGCTT